TCCGGCGGGTGGCCTGGGACGCGGCGGATACGGGCCCCTCGCCGGCGGGCGTGCTGACCGGCGACACGGCGCTCGAGGTGTCCTGCCTGGCGGGCACTGCGCGGACCGGTGCCCGGCCGGCGGACGGCCCGGGCGACACGCGCCGGTGGCTGCTGCTCGAGTCTCCCCCCGCCGGGGAGGCCGGTCGGCCGCTGTGTCTGGAGGCCGAAGCCAGCCCCCTGAGGGCCTTCCCGGCCGGGCGCGCGGCCATCAGCCCGGCGCTTCACCAGAAGCTGCGCCGCGAGCTTTCCCACAGCTCGGACCTTTTCCTCCGGTGGGGGGATCACCTCCTGCTGCTCTGGTGCGCCTGCTGTCGCGAGCCGGTGCACGTTCGCATCCACGCGCACATGTGCACATATACACACACATGCATGCACGCACGCACGCGCGCATACACGCACGCACACATATACACATATACACACACACACACACATACACACATACACGCACGCACACATAAACACGCGCACACATAAACACGCGCACACATGAACACGCGCCCTGGCTGCAGCCGCAGCAGCTCACACCCACGCGCCGCAGCCCCGACCCGAATCCGCGCACCGCCCTGACCGAAGGCCAGGTGACCCTCGGCCAAGGGGACTTCAATCGGATTTTTGCCCACCACACCATCCTGCAGGCCGGCGTGCTGACATCGCCCCCGCGCGTCTTCCAGGTGGAGCTGCATCTCCTGGCGGCCGGCCTGCGGGCGGAGCGCGTGGCCCACCGGCCGGCCGAGGAGGCCTTCCTCCGGCAGTTTGACCGCTCGGTGCTCTCCCAAGGACAGGTATGTGGGCCCGTCGTCGCCGGGGCCCGGGCCACATGCCCCCCTCTGCTGGCCCGCCCTCTTTTGGACACACGCTGACACGGTCCCCCTGCGTGCGTGTGCAGGTGTGCCAGCTGCAGGCCGAGGGCATGGCCCTGCGCGTGCAGGTGGCCCAGCTGCTGGGGGCCGACCTGCAGCCGCTGCATGCCGGCTACCTGGACATGGCCACCGTGGTGGCCTTCCTGCACATCAGCGATCCCAAGCAGAAGATCCACGTGGCGGACCGGCCGGCCTCGGCCCTGGTGCAAGTTGCCCGGCTGGAGGAGCCCCTCCGCCTGCCGCTGGTGGCGCAGGATGGCTTCGAGCACCCGGACCAGCATGTCATCCATGTGACTGGCGGGACCTTCGAAGCGCTGCAGCGGCACTTCCTCCACCCGGGGCGGACCCTCTTCGTGGGCCCGAACTATCGGCTAGAGTACGTATCCGGGGGCGGGAGGGGGGGGGGGCCTTCGTGCGGGGCTCTTGCTTGCGTCCATTCGGTTCACTCCGCGCACGGGCAGTGCCCCTGACCCGGGGGACGGGGGGCGAGCAGGGAAGGGAGCTGACCTCGAGACGTCCGGCCCCCGGCACAGGACGCAGCCGACGGACTACCCGAAGCTCAAGCTGCACCAGGTGCTGGTCGATGAGTCCCTCTACCGGATGAGGGGCGACGGGCTGTTCTTGCGGTATGTCCGGCCGCCGGCGCTGCTGGTCATCAAGTGCATCGTCGAGCCGAGCGGCGAGGACTCGCCGCCGGTCATCGGCCCGCGGGTGCTGGAGCGCCTGTTCCTCCGGTCCATCCCGCCATCGGGCGTGGTTTGGGCCAAACAGGTGCGCCTTCGTCAGGAGGGTGGGCCCGTGGCAGGGGCTGGGGGGGGCGGGGACAGGAGCGGGAGCGGCGGGGGGCGAGGCGCCTGATGGCGTGCGGGCGCGCGGGCCATTGACCGATGGCGTCCTTCCCCCTCGTCGGGTGGCCTGCCGGCGGCAGCAATGCGCCATGCCGCCGGACCTGCCGGGGCTCAGCATGTCGCTGACCTGGATGCGGGACCTGGCCGACCGGCCGGCCATGGTCGGGACATATGTTCCCGGGGTGACGCGGCTGTCCTTCGGAGCGCACGGCGTCCAGCTGGACCCCAAGCCGGCGCACCTCCTGGCGCTGGGCTGCGGCCGGCAGCTGGTGGCGCTGGATGCGCTGTTCACGCGGACCCCGTCGGCCCTGTATCCGGGGCTGCTGCTGCCGCGGGAGGTGTTCCAGTCGGCGGCCGAGGCGCGCAATGAGGCCCGCCCGCCGGAGTGCCTGTTTTTCCAGTGCCGCGGCCGGGTGTTCATGGCCCGGCTGGCGGACACGCACCATGTGTCGGGCGTGGTGCGCGTGTGTGAGGACCTGCGCGAGAGCATGTACCCCGGGCTGGCGCCGATGTCCTATCTGCAGCCGGCCCCGGGGGCGAGCTACCTGGGCACGGTGCACCTGCGCGTGACGCCGGCCGACGCGGCGTCCGCCCGGCCGGTGGCCGCCGACATGACCGAGGAGGACCTCCGCCGGGCCCTGGGCCTTGTCTTCTCGGATGGCAGCATGGCCACCATGGAGCGGCGCGTGCTCCGGGGGCTGGCCCTCAAGCCGGAGCTGCTGCTGGACCCCCTCGAGCAGACGGTCGCCTGCGGGCTCTTCCACCCGGGCCGGACGCAAGTCCATCTGCACCTCCGAGATGTGGTGCTGCTGCTGCCGCCGCCGCGGCCCGGGGCGCCGGAGGGGGGTGGCCCGGCGGACGCGCAGCCCGATGGCGGCCCGGCCCGGAGCCCGCCGGCCCCGAGGCGGGGCGCGGCCCGGGCCCCGAGGCGACGCCTGCGCCTGGGCTCCAGGGCCCCGTCCGACTGAGCCGCCGCCAGCATGCCGGGCCGCCAGCAGGCTTGGCATGCATGCGGCCTTCGTGGGCTCGGCCCGGCGACCGGGAAAGGGGCGGAGGGGGGCGGCACAGTGCCTCCCCCCTGCATGGGCCCAGCGCCGGCCCGGGCCTGACCCAGGGAGGGAGGCGGAATAAAAGAAAGCATCCCCAGGCCGGACTCGCGGCTGGTGTCTGGGCGGGCCGTCCCGACAGCCAGGACCGCACGGGGGCAAACGGGGGGGGGGGGGGGGCGGGTCGGAGGCCGAGGTGTCTGTCGATGAGCGGCCGGCCCGCGCGGGCCACCTGGCGTGGGGGCTGTTCGGCGCGTCACGTCGGGTGCCAGGACAAGGCGGTCGTCGACCAGGGCGACATGCTCCCGCGAGGGAGGGGGGGGGCGGTGCCCGCGCTGCTGGCACTCCCGCCGATGGGGCCTCGCCGCTTCGGCTGCCTCTTGGCCGGGCCCGGTGCCGGCGCCGGGCCTGCGCAACTTAACAGCCGGCCCCAAGGCGCTAGGCGTATGCGCCTGACGACGCGCCGGCACCCTCGCCCGTGCCTCCCAATCGGCTGGCCACGGTCGAGTCCAGCCCGCGCCGGGGATCGAGGGCGCTGTCCTGGCCCCAGCGCCCGGGGCATCAGCGCGCCCTGGCGCGGAAACCGGGCGGTGCGGCATCTGGCCGGGCCCCGGTGTGGTCACGACACGGCTGGATGTCGCCCGCCTGGCGGCTGTGCGTGGGGGGGGGGGGGGCCTCAAGCGAGCGCGGAAGGCGCGGGCCGGGGACGCTGCGACCACCGGGAGTCCGGGGCATATTGGCTGAACACCAGCACCCTCAAACATGGGCCGCAGGGGGCTGCGCTGCGCGTGCTCCGGCGCGTCCCCCGCCACGGACGACCAGCCTGAGTCCACTTGTAACATGTTACACCTATGGGCGCGGAAAAAAAAGACCCACCTCGCGCTTGCCAAAACCGAGGGTATTGGAGAGCATTTTAAATGCCCAATTTGGTGCGACTTACGCGCAGCACCGGGGGGGAGGCCGAACTTTATTTTGGCGAAAATTTGACTTCGGTCCCACGTGCTCCGGCACCAGCACACGGGCGTGTGCCGGTCATGCACCCTGGCCGCCGTTGTTGGCGGTGCTGTTGGCGGGTCATTTCAGGGCGGGCCCCCCTCCCGGTCCCCAGCTCGCGCTCATCATCTTTCTCCCCCCCCCCCCTCCCGCCCCGTTGTCCTCACACCCCACTCCCTCCTACTCTCCGGCTTCCTTCGCCCTTTCGCGCTCTTTGCCATTTCCCCCCTCGCGTTCGCCCTTGGTCCCGCGCGCCCGCTGCCCTAGTGCCCCTTTCCGCCGGCTCCGCGGCGGGCCCGCTCCCCGGGGTCCGGCATTGGCGACGGCGCATGCATGAACAATGGGCGCCAGCCCCCGGCTGGCAGCATGGCAGCCAGGGTGGCCACCTGCTGGCGGAGGCTGGCGGCCGGAGGCCGGCCGCGCGGCTCCGGGCACCACAGGCGAGGCAGCACGTCGAGCAGGGTCTGCGCAAGGGGGGCACTGGCCTGGGCAATGGGCGCGGCGGCCGCCTGGACGTCTGGCCGGTCGCCGCGCACCACGCTCTCGGTGATCTGCTCGAAGGAGCAGCCCTGCCAGGGGGCGGTGCGGGAAAGGCACTCCCACAGCAGGAGCGCCGCGCTGTAGACACCCGCCGGGAGCAGGGCCCCGGTGTCCAGGGGGCGCTTGCGGCGGAAGGCGGCGATCACCTCCGGCGCGGCATACCGGGCGGTCATGGCGTTGAGCTCCGGCGCCCCGGCCACCAGGGCCGAGGCCCGGTCGGGGTTGAGATTGCGCGAGGTCCCCAAGTCGCCGAGGGCCACGCGCCAGGACGCCCCGTCGGGGCTCTGGCTGACGAGCACATTGGCCGGCTTCAGGTCGCAATGGGCCACGCCATTGGCGTGCATGGCCTCCAGCCCGGAGGCCCACTGCTGGCACACGTCCAGGCGGGTGTGCAGCGAAAGGGCGATGTCCGACTGGAGCAGGGTCCCCAGGTCGGCCTGGGGGCGTTCCATCACCATGGCCGGCGGCTGGTCGCCGTACCCGTAGATGCGCACGATGTGCGCATGGTCGCGGAGGAGCCTGGCGACCGGGCGAAAGTCAGTGGCCATCGGCGTCGTGCCAGGGGGCATCAGGGGGGGGGGGGGGGGGGGGGGGGGGCCGCCGAGGATGGTCCGCCAAGCGATCTAGCGCC